AGAATGAAGGCAGGGGGAGACATCTAGACTGAAGGCAGGGGGAGATATCTAGCCTGAAGGTGGGGGAAACATCTAGAATGAAGGCAGGGGGAGACATCTAGACTGAAGGCAGGGGGAGATATCTACACTGAAGGCAGGGGGAGATATCTAGACTAAAGGTGGGGGAAACATCTTGAATGAAGGCAGGGGGAGACATCTAGAATGAAGGCAGGGGGAGACATCTAGACTGAAGGCAGGGGAAGATATCTGGCCTGGAGATGGGAGAAACATCTAGAATGAAGGGGAAACATCTAGAACGACTCCAGGTTTTCGACTGAGGTGGGTGGCTGGAGGGATAGCCATGCTTGTCACTCATCAAAGCAGGAAACTAGGGAGGGGGAGGGGGTTCCTTGGTGCTAGATGGTCAATTCCACTGAGGAAATGGGGAGTCAGTATAACATGGGATGCTTAGCGTGAAGGCTCCAGGGGCCTGTTGGATTTAGAAGTCTTGAGGTCCATAGGGTCAACTGTGGAATGGACCTGGGGATTAGCAGTGGGAGGGTTTGGCGGGAGTGATGGATAAGCTAGCTTGGGGGGTTGCCTGGCAAAGGTAAAGGAGTAAGGGGCCTGTGTGCCCAGAGAAGGTGGGGACAGTGACCCAGAGGGAGAAGGGTTCCTAGCGTGTGGTGCCGGTGGTGAGAGCGACTCCCGCTTTTCAGACAGGGAGCTGGGCGGCGATGAGGAGCATCCAAGGAAGGGCAGCTCTTCACTGCTGGCCTTGATGGCCTGACTGTGGTGCCATTGGATGGGAAAGAAGGGTGTGTTTTCATTCCTGGCTAATACTTCGCCTTTTTCTAATGTTATTTATCACTGCTCTTGTGGAAACAAAGAGATAGAACTCTGGTTCATGAGCAGCATGGGGGGAGGGGGACTTCATGATACTGAACGCCCAGAGGTCATCGTGACATTGTTGGCCTTTCTGAGGCCCTCACCCCCAGCATCTGTGCTGTGCCCCTGGTCAGTCCTCTGGGGCCTGTTATCTGAGTGGACCCAGTGGTCTCTGCCACCCGCTCATCGTGTGCCCCCCTCTGCGGCCATCACGCCAGCCCTCAGGGGAGACAGGGTGTGGAAGCCCTTTGTCAGAGGAGGCAACATTCAGCCTGTTTCCTCAGTGTTTGTGACACCACCTGACCAGAAGCCATGCTGGTGTTGAGGACTGACCCCCACGTGCCAAGTCTCGGGCAGCTCTGCTCTGACTCCTGACCACACAGTGGGAAGTGGCAAAGCCAGAACCTTGCCCCGGGTTTGGGGCGAAAGCTGTGTTTTCCCCACCAGTCCACAGGGTGCCACGCTCATGGGTCTGCTGAATCCTGGAAGAAGATACACTGTGATCGGTACCGTAAGATTCCTGGGGAAGGAGGCACCAGCAAGGCCTGGGTGAGATCTGAACAAGGTCTGGAAGATACTAGAGCTTAGGTTACAGGGAGAGGGACGTGTGCAGAGAAGGTCTCCCCTTTGAGCCGACATCTGGAGTCCTAGCGCCAAAGCCTCCTCTTCTCCACTCTTCACCAAGTGCCATGTGACACCAACCTCCCTTCTTCAGCTCTCCTCCCACCCCAGCCTGACCACTGATAGCTGGGTTGTTGGTGAGAGCAGCCCTTCAGGACACACTCTGTCATGCACATGCCAGCCTGGCTTTCATCAGCCTAGGACAGGTGCTGTTTCCACTTGCAGATGAGGAAAGTAAGGGCCAGAGAAGTGAGCTGCCTTCCTTAGCAATGCACTGTCGGCCTTCTGACCTGGGTGACGTCAACCCCCTCAAAGTCACATGGACCATTATATCTAAATATGAGGCAGTGAATATCCCTCAGATAGGGAAGCAGGACTTATCTCAACCCCTGGAAAGTTCATAGCATGCTGTGGATGTGTTTTTTGTGCATTTGAAAAGCAGCTGTTCATAAGACTGAATGTTTCTCCATAACTGTGCTGATTTGTGTGCAGTGTAAACAGGGTTGCTGGGGACCAGGGCAGGGTGGAGCTGTGCTTGGATAGAATGCACCTGATTTCATGAATGGCTGGACCCCAGGCCCTGCCCTGCCTTGCTTCAGAAAAAGCCTTGTATTTGGAGAGCTGTGTTCTTGCTGTCCTCCTGTCCCATTCAGAGCCATTTTAGTGGACCAGCGGGTGAAATTTCTTCCAGTTGACATTTGCCTGCCATTCCGTCTCCTCATACTGTTCCTGATAAATCCCAGAGGAGAGAAGCCTCTGGAGTCCCAGAGGTGACACTGGTATGGAGAGGATGGATTTCACCATGGCCCAGTTTCTCTTGAACTTGGAGCCCACTGGGGATTCTGTGATGTTTGCCCTCAAAATGCATAGGGGCCTTTAACCAGGGACCTGAAACCAAAGGAGGTGGGGACAGATGGAGAGGGACAGAATCTAAAACAACTGCTCTACCCTTTTACAGCCTGCAAAGTGAAAGCCAGGATCCCTGTGGCAGGTCTGGGGAGGGCGAGGCCTCTCAGGGGGTCAGAACTGGGGCTCCAGGGCAACTCAGCCATACCACCTGGCCCAGGCCCCTCTGACCCCACCTGTCCTGTTTCCCTGTAGACCTGTAGACCGTGTACAGACTTAGACCTGCCTCCACTGAGCCTGGCACTGCCCCTGACCATGGATGCCTGCGGAGTCCCTTCCAGCTGCTGGGCTGCCACTGGGAACAGGCACTCATGGGGGTCACGTGATGGTGGGGGTTGGTGCCTCAGGAGGTACAAGAGGGGGTGCAACAAAGCCTATGCCCTCGGAGCTATAGTAACAGAGGGACCAGGAAAGAGCCACAAAAGGAAGTGGCCTCATGGGCTTCAGGTCTGGAACCGGGAAGGAACAGGCTGTGTCTTCCCCAGAGCGGAGAACAGAGAGTAAAAAGAGAGAGGGGAAGATAGTTGAGATGGAGGGCAGAAAGCAAAAATCTGTGCGTTCCCAGTGTCCTAAGGGAGAACATCAGAACAATCAGAAGTGAAGCAGTTAGCAGAGTTGTAGAGAGAATTTGCCCAAGATGAAATGCCCAGCAAAAGGCTGAAAATCCATTTTGGAAGACCCACAATTAGACGCCTCCAAGTCAAAGAGTTTTTAAATATGAGAATAGAGAGCTTTGGGGGGAGTCAGGTGGGCACCCCAGTGACCCCACTTGTGGGCAGTGGCAGACAGAACCCAGTAAAGGCAGTCCCAGGGTCCAGAGAGGGAAGGAGTGATCCCTAGGATCCCCATCTGCCTCCCCTGTGTGAAGATGGGAGGCTAGTGCTGAGACAAGACCCCATATGTCCTAAGTAAGAAATCTCGAAGACCTCATCCATGCCATGTAGACAGAAGCAGGACCGTGATCTCAAGGACTGGAGTGGCGTGGTACCAGAGGATCGGCCTCAGCTCTGTGGCTGCATCCTCAAAGCCTAATGGAATCACACTCTGTTGGGGCAGAGCCGGGGCAGAGCCAGGCCAGTGTGGCCTCAGGAGCCGTCCTTTCTGATCCCCTCCCTCCCAGGAACGGGAAGGCTCCTTCTCCCACCACATACTCACTTTCCTTTCGTGAGACAGCAGGCCCGAGGATGATAGTAGCCGACACATGGGGATGGTGCAGGGGAAGGCAGGGCGACCTGGGCCCGGCATGGCCTGGTTGGTGGCACAGCGCTAGCAGAAGTGCCACCTCTAGGCTAGTAAAATGAGACCAGTAAATCCTAGGTATCTTACCTGCTAAGCCACTGAGCATTCCATTGCTTGCTGTTCTTAACTGATGAACTCAGCTTGTTTGAAGTATTTTAAAATAATAATGGTGCTGCTCCATTCCAGCACCGACTGCATGGCTGGGTTTCTAAAATACAGAGACACTGGGCTGAAAGAATGATGAACTGCAAGTCTCCCCGCTGTGACAGAGGCAGCGCCGCGTCAAGCATCATAGTGATGGTCTCACTGCTGAAAACCTTCAGGAGTGGCTTTCTGCATTTTTACAGTTCCCACCACATGCCCTGGCCATGGGTGGTGTTTATTCTGAAAGGCCACATCAGGTGTTGGGGTTCCATCTCTGGCAGCGAAGGTTCCCACATGGACCTGGCCTGAAAAACCAGTCTGTGGTAACAGTGCGACCAAACCCACGTAAACAAATAGATCCGCCCCCTTTCTACTTCCCAGCATGTGACATTGGGCAGGTTGCTTAATCCTCTGTATCTCAGTTTCTTGGATTGCACCAAGGGATGAGAAATCATAGCGCGTACTACGCAGAGCTGCTAGGAGTCCATGAGTAGGATGATGCCTGGCGTGCAGTGTGAGTGTGTTTAGGCATGTGTGCGTGCGAGACAGTGCATGTGTGCATGCAGGAGAGAGAGGAGAAGGGAGACGGGGCAGTGGAAGGAGTCAGGAAGGAGACCAACTAGTCAGAGTTGCCCAGGGACACTGGTGACCCATTTTAGCATAATCTTTATTTCACTTGGGTTTTGTTTCATCTTTTAGAAAAGAAAACGTACTCATTTTTGTAGTTTCTGAACCTACTTTGATAAAGAAAGAAAAAAGAGTAAAGCATCCCCCAATACTACAGAGGTGATCTCTAAGAAGTGAGATTCTAAAAATGTTATGTATTTTTTTAGACATTTCTGTACTTTTCCAGGTTTCTTCATTGTGCATGTATTAGGTTTTGAAATCTTCGTATGAGAAAAGAGTTGCAGTGTGTGTGATCACATGGTCATAGTCGGGTGTACCCCTTAGGCAGGAAGAGTCCTACACGGTGGCAGGTGGGGGCAGAAGGGGCTTCCAGCAGGCCACTCCAGCCCCTCTCCCCTTAGGGCTAGAGCCAGTGTGGAGCCCAGTCCCCTTGGCGTCTGCTGCTTTGTGACAGTGCTCAAGCCCCTGCGTCCCCGGTTCTCCCCAGGGGGTAACTGGACGCTGATGGCCACCAGGTGCCTAGCCTGTGGTGTTGAGTGAGTGAGCCAGTCCCCCTCCTGCCCACTGGGACCAAACCCCGGGCCCACCTCCTCTCTGTCCCTGCAGACCCCGCAGGATAGAGCCCGTGTGCTCAGGGCTGCAGGCCCAGATCCTCCGCTGCTACCGTGACAACCTACAAGAAGTGCTCCTGTGCTCGGACCTGGTCAAGGCTTACCAGCACTGTGTGAGTGCTGCCCACAAGGTAAGGCTCGCCCTGCCCTCCTGCCTGGGCCGCTGGGCTGCTAGGTGCATGGGGGCAGCACGCGAGTGCTGGACTCTGTCTGCCTGTCTTTGTCTGCTAAGTCAGACATGCTAACCTCAAGCCTCTGCCTTGTGCACAGTGACAGCTTCAGGTCTTCAATCTCCTCTGTCACTTCCTGGTTCAGACGTTCTGCCTTGTTGGCCCCGTGACTGCTCTCAGATATCTGGGTTAGGAAAAGACCCTGGGCCCCACTAGGCTGGGTCTGGCAGCAGGTCTGAGTAAGCTCTGGGTCTGGGAGCAGCTCTGGGTCCCATGTTCAAAGGACTGGCCACCTAGTAAAGGGCACGCATGTGCCACCCACTTCTAACCTTTGAGCAGTTGGGGGTGGGAGCTCAGAGGAGAGCCCATGGTGCAGGGTAGGGGTCCCAGAAAGGGCGGGGACAGCCCTAGAAGGAGAAGAGCCTCTGGATTCAGGGAGGTGGAAGAGTGGGTGTGGCCTGCCTGACTGGGTGAGGGAGTGAAGGGTACCTCTCAGCCCACCCCACTTCCATGTGGTCTGAAGGGGCATGCTGGCACCCAGCCCCTGGTGAGTGGGAGGGGGTCACAGTGGTCCCACTCTCTCCCACACACTCCCCAGCCCTCTTGCAGGGCAGCAGTAGGGTATCCTAGATGTCTGAGGTTGGCAGTGGGCCTCCCCTGAGACCTGGTCCCAAGGTCTTGCCCGCCTTCCCTGACCCTCCCAGCCAGCTCCCAATACTATCCTCTCACCTCCCCCCTGTTCCTCTTCTAGACAATTCAATCCCCCTTCCCAAGCCCAGCAGTTCATTGCCCAGGCTGGACCTGGCCCCTCCCCATCATTCACTTGGGGCACCTGGCTTGGACCTCTCCAGAGGGCTGGCATGTTTGTTCAAAGGGCTGTAGGATGGGACCTTCTTCCCATGGAAAAGCCCCTTTTGCCCGAGTAGGAGACAAGCTGCTGCAGGTACTGATGGTGGAAAGGCTGAGGTCAGCGGTCAGGTGGCCCTCTGGCTAGGTCTGGCAGTCTCCTCCTCAATAGCCCAGCCTCACCAGAGCCCCCCTCACCTTTCTGTCAGCCTGGGCCCCGGGAGGTGGAGCTGCTGCCGCACGGGCTGCATCTCACGCACAAGGTGCCGTGTGCCTGTCTGAGCTTCGAGGCCTGCTGCCTGGAGCGGGCTGTGGGGCAGCCCGGAGCCTAGCAGCAGCTCTGCACGGCACCAGGTGGGTGTGAAGCCTGGGTAGGAGGTCACATTTCCTCCCCACTGTGGAGCATGGAAAGCTGCTCTGTTTCGAGTTGAGCAGGAAAGGTACTGCCAACGGTCCCTGCAGCGCGGAGCAGAGCTGGGCCGGTCGCCCTGCACCATACCACACGGCCACGGGAACAGGTGGCCCTCCTGCGCCCCTTTGTATCTACCAAGGTGTTTGTGAAGGCTTGCACGAGAACCCTTGCCCTGCCGGGATCAGCGAGCCATTGCCCGAGCTTGCACACCATGCACCTAACTTTCTACTGAGGGAGAGACCTGGGGTCCTGCCGTGGCCCCCTTGATTCCCCACAGAGCCCTCTGGCACCCCCTAGCCCCGACCGCCCTCCCTCTCTTCCTTCAGGCCCCATGGCCACACAGTTTTCATCCCCTCCCCCAGCAGAGTATATCTTTAACAAACACATCTCACCAATATATCTTCATTGCACTGAGGCAAAAATGTGATTACGAAGGAAGACAGATTGCATTTAACTCCAGTGTGTTCTCTGTAGCTCTAGCACGCCTGAGAGAGGCTCTGGGGCACTGCCAGGCCTGGCTCCCTCCTTCCCGCCACCGCCCCCCCCCCCGGCGTTATTAAAGCCTAAATTGGAACTTGAGCAACTGGCAACAGCAGAGGCCGGCCCTGCTCCCACTGCGCTGCGTCTACAGGGTCCCCTCGGAAGAAGGGTGTTCCACCGACCCCTGCAGGGCCTCAGTGCCAGACACACACATTGCACCCTGTGAGTGAGATGCAACAAGTGTTGCTGCCCTCTGCTGACTTCTGCCTCAGAAGGCTCCTGGTGGGGCCGGCTATGGGGCTTAGAGCGTCTCTGATAGTGATTCGCTTGTGGAAGCACCAGGTGGCAGGAACCCGCATCTCTGGCAGACAGGGAGCAGGTATCGGACAGAGGCCCGCCTGGTCAAAAGCTGGGGTGAGAGGCACCTCCCCAGAACTCCTGCCAGCACCTGTGTGGCGCCTCCCAAGCCCAGGGACATGTACATGTGTGTGGATGTGGGCAGCGCCTTGGAGGCAGGTTCCAGCAAGGAACAGCCTGAGTGTGAGGGCTCTCACACACCAGAGCTTTCTCTCTGACTGGTTTCACTTAGAAAACTCTGAGTGGTTAAGTAAGAAAACAGGGGAGACGTTGGTGGGACAAAGCAGCATTGGGCTGAGGCCTTCCTGTCTGTAAGGGGGGGCAAGGCGGTCAGATGGCTATAGGGTCCATGTTAGCAGGCTGCTACAGGCATGTGTTGAGTGGGCACCGGGCACAGAGGTGAAGAGACCCAGTCCAGGTCTCAGGGACCAGCTGGGGGGCACCCTTCCCATTAAGCAGTGACACTCATGGGGCATCCCAAGAGCCGGGGGCCCTCTTGGAGCCAAGGCCTGGGGGATGCACAGGGTTCCCAGCAGAGTGGGCCGTGACTGAACTGTGACCTGTTCTCCTTTGTAGGGGTGAGGAGTGGCCCTCAATCCTGGCCCTGGCGGTGACTTGGAGCCCTGAAGAAGGAACCGGTTATGGGACCACAGTCCACAGCCCCCTAGGCCACAGCCATTTTCTCCTGGGTGCCTATGGATGCCTCTGTGCTTGGGGCTGCCATGTGTTTGAGAAATAGAGTATGTGCTACTGTCTGAAAACAAATAAAGCAAATGTCTTTGTTTTCAGTCATTCTCTCGGCTGGCAGACAGCCACGGCTGCCTCCTCTCTGTACGTACCTGTGCTGGACCATGGTGATGCGGGCTGAATGAAACAGGCTGCTCCCCTTGGGGGGCACCCAGCCTAGCAGGGGAGACAGATGTGGAAACCCACAGTTATGCTGCAACAGCAGAAGGCCAGCCAGAAGCAGGTATGAGATGAAATGAGGGGAATGCAGTTCTTTCTAGGGATGGAACAGAGCGAACAGGCCAGCTTCCTAACAGAGGTTGTCTGAGCTCCAGTGTAGAAGCCGAATGGAGGACTTGCTGGGCAAGCCAGAGGCTGGGTGAGTGAGACCCTAGATGCCCAGCTTAGGGGGCACAGAGCATGCACAGCTGGGCTTTGCAGAGAGCAGAGTGGAAGCTGGGTGGGGTAACAGGGATGCCAGGCCAAGGCATTGAGGGATCCCTCTGAGGGACACTGCCGTGGCTCTCAGGGAAGGTGGGCTCAAGTGGGGCAAGACTGAATGCCAAGGAGAGCCCTGCAGGCACTCAAGGGCACGATGAATGGGAGACTGGTGGGCCAGGTCATGGGACAGACTGAGGTGAGTCTTAGGAGCTGAGATTAGCATTTGGGTGGTGTAGGGGAGGATCAAGGGTGACTTCCAGAGTCACCCTTGTGCTGGTGATTCTAGGAACTGAAATGAGGGACACAGGGATTGAGAAGAGCAGAGGACAGTGGGGTTTGGGACGGGCTCTGCTCAGTGGGTGTCCACACACCAGCCCGCCAGTCCTTGACCTTTGACAGGATCCCAGCTGAGGCGCCTTGACCACACGCCGGCTGCACCCAGCCTGTCCCAGTGCTGTGAGGGAGGTAGCGGGAAGAGTCCGAGGCGGGGCTTCTGATCCACTCACTGCTCTACTGGTGACCGTGGATTTCCTGTGGAAGTTCCTTTGGAGAGCCCCTAGCCATCTGGAGCTGAGAGCCTGGATCCTGACTCGGGCTTTGCAGCCCAGGCATCTCTGCTCATCCCCGAATTCTCACACACAAGCTGAAGTGGCAGTTGAGGCTTGGCAGTGTCCAATTATCTGGGCAGGTAGCACAAGGCAGCTTTATTTGGCCAAGCTACATACTGGCTGAGAGGAAAAGAGCTTTGGGAGATGCCCTCTCTCCCAAGTTCTGGGTCAGCTTGCCAAAACATACAAGGAGGCATTCAGAGAGCACGCGGAGGTGAGCGGCCCCAGTAAGTGGCAGGGTGCCCTGGCCAGATCCTCCTCCCAGCCTCCCCCAGCAGCCCAAGGAAGGGCTGGCCCTTCATCAGGCCAGCATGGGGGGGCGGGGGCGGGGTCACAGGTCACCTGGATTGTTGACGTCAGAGCCATCCTTCAGCCGGAAGCTGCTGAGGCCCTTCTGAGACTCCTTCAGAAGCCTCTGGCATCCAGGGCTTTGCCCAACTTCCCAATCCCACGGGACTATCTCTCAGACTCCATCCTCCTACCCAGAGTCCGCTGAGGGCAGCTGTGTGTGCGTCTGGCCATCTGTGCGTTTATATGTGTGCACGTGTGTGATGCATGTGCAGGCGTACATGTGTACGTAGATGCCTTTATGTGTTTGCACATGTGTTGGCACAGGCCCGTGTGCACCTGTGCATATGTGTAGAGGTGCTTTTCTGTGTGTGCACAGGTCTGTGGGTGTCTACCCATCTGTGTGTGTATACACAGATGCCTTTGTGTCTGTGCACACATATGTGTGTGCAACGGTCTATACACATGTACTGTGTTTGCACAGGCAGCCGGCCATGCTCTCCACCTGCCAATACTCCCGGGCTCTTTCCACCTGGATCTCAGCCCATTTCCCCGATTTCCCCCGAGTCAGAACCAAGGTTCTCCCCTCTGATCTCCACCTCTTCCCTACGGCTGGGGACCAGTGGGTATTTACTTGGAGCCACTGTATCATTGTGTTGGCGTGGGGGGGGGGGCATGTGCTCAAAGTGCAGGCTCTATGTGTGTCTCCTGTGTGGACCTGCATCTCCAGCCCTTCCACGTGGCCATATGTGGTAGGAAGTCAAGCCTGAGAGAGCATTCCTGGGTGAGGGGTGTGTCCAATATTGTGTGGACCTGGAGGCAGACATTCCTGGCCTCAGGTCCCAGCCACATGGCTGTGGAAAGGGAGTATTAATACCCATCCCACCTGGTTGCTAGGGGATTAAATATGATGTTAGCTGTGACTTCCAGGGTCCAACCAGGAAACCCAAAAGCACTCCGATTATTTAAACATAGGGAGGGAATTGATCACGAAGAAGATGGAGAAGCTGAAAACCCAAATAGAATGGTGTGATAACCCAGAAATTAGCCAACGGCAGGAAGCTCGCATCACTCAGGGCTGCAGGGACAAAGGGAAGAGGCAGGGTCACCCAGTGGAGGCTGACAGCACAGGGGCCCTGCTCACGTGAGCTGGAGCCGCTGAAGGGGCACTGCTGCACGGGAGGTGGCTGCTCGTGGCTGCTCGTGGCCTCCTCTCCTCCCATCCTCCAGTCTCGCTCGTGCCTCCCATTAGCTGAACCTAGCTGGAAGTGGAGGGCAAGGCATGGCCCCAGCTATGGAGGGGCAGATCTGAGGCCCGGGCCCACAGGAGGGGCTTCGGCATGACTGGGGGCTGCTGAGCAAGCACGTGTGCCTCTGCTTGGGTGGGCATGCATCGTGGGTGCAGATAGGTGTGTACACATACCTGTGTGTGTGGATAGCTTGAATTGGCATGTGATGGACAGCTTCCAGAGGAGTACTAGCCATCACCCTGATTGGACGTTCCCCATGTGCCAGGTCCTCTCCCACACCCTTTGTAAATGCTAACACGTTTAGAGTCACACAGCTGCTCCTGCTTTCCAGATGAGGAAACCATGGCACAGACAGAGTGAGTAACCTGCCCAAGATTACACAGTGCACAGTGTGGAACAAGGGTCCTGGGGTCCTGGCTGTGTGCTGGGCCAGGCCCAGGGACATCCGTCCAGAGGCTTGACTCTACCTTGCTCCAGGGATCCAGCTGAAGGGGCCAATCCTCCACCTCTCCCCTCGTCTGGCCCCCCAGATGGGAGTGTGGACCCTGGCAAAAGAAATGACCAGAGTCCATTCCTTCCAACGTCATTACTGACTTGGAGAGGCCCAGCAGTGCCAAGGCAAGGTCTGAGCTCCATCATCAAGGCGGCCATGAGCCCCAGGGCAGGATCTCTTCTGAGGTGCTGATTCATACACCTGCCCTGTCTCAGCCACATGCCACCACCTCATCCACCCACGAGTATGGCTGCGGACATGCCAAGTCATTCCAGGTGGCTGAGGTGGGAGTGAGAGCAGGGCATGGGAGAAATGTCCAGTGTGTCCTGGACACGCAAAAGGCAGAGTGTCACCGCAGATGTGGAGAGGGCCCTCCACTGAGGCCATTGCCAGAGAAGCAGCTCACATGACCTCTCTGGGGGACAACTTTGGTGAAATGCATCAGAGGCCTTTTAAAGTGTGTAAATTCACAAAAAAACACCCAAAAACAACCTACCCCCAACACACCCCCCCCCACACACACACATAATCCACCTGTGTGTTATTTACAAGAGACCTCACCTGAAAAAGAGCACAAGCTAGTTGAAAATAAAAGCATAGAAACAGAAGCATATCAGCAAACTCTGAGAAGGCTGGAACGGCTGTGTTACTACCAGCCAAGGTAGACTTCGGGACAAGGAGTGAATGAGCAACGAGGTGGGCAGTTCAAACACTAGCAGGGACAGCACGCAGGAAGACTTGGAAATCCTAAATGTGCATGCGTCTGACACAGCAAAATAGGTGAAGCAGGACTGACAGAACAAGGAAGAGGAAGGGCCACATCCACAGCCATCACTGGTGGCTGGGAGCACGCACACAGCCTCTGCCTGGTGATGGCAGATCAACGGCTCTAAGGAAACTAGCATGTAAGCAGGCACTGTGTCCTAGAATGTTCGTCCCGGCCTCTGCACAGCCTCTGGAGCACCCAGTCTGCAGCATAATGTGGAGATTCAGGACCTGGCATCGGAGCCAGACAGACCCAGCACCCACTCCAAGCCTCTGGACAGCAGCTCCTAAGCCCCTAGGCCTCTGTTTCCTTATCTGTAAAAGGGAGACAGTCACAGATGCCATTCCTTCAGGGGGTTGTGATGACAGGTGTCCCATGGTTAGTGCTCTCTAAATGTGAGGGCGGAGGACCTGCCACCCAGATCCCCTTTAGGGCCAGCTGTGGACAGATAGCCCTCGCCCCCGAGTCCTCTCCCTCTGGGAAGCACCTTCACTAGGGAGCCACCTCACCCGAGTCACACCCCAACAAGCCAGGAGTTGTATCCAATTACTGCTTACTGGGATGGGGTATAGAGGCCCAGCTCTCATGCTCCAAGTTGGAGCAAGCTGGAAGAGTGTTCTGACCCGAGAGCTGTGCATGGCCTCATCGAGACTGCTTGGCAGCCCAGCTAGTCCTGCCCTCTGCTTCTTCCCCTTCCCCAGAAGTGGTGACCCCAAGGACACTCACATAAACATCCTGAAGCCTCATCTCTGCCTCAGAATTGGCTTCTAGAGAAACCCAAGGAGCTAATATAGTTCATGTTATTATATCCTATGTACTGTGAAAACAATGGCAACATTGGTCCGTGCCCCCATGGGCTTATAGTCTAGCAGGAGGAGGTAGTAGGAGTCATGTCATAATTCCAAAAGACATTGGAGGTCCCTTGTGATGAGGCCCCTAGCGAGAGCCCCCAGGAACTCCAGGCTCAGGGTTCTCAGGCTGTGGGGTCAGGGAGGGCTTTGTTGAGGAGACGAGGCTTAAGTCCTAGTCTGAGGGCTGAGCCAGAGTTGGCAGGTGAAATGACTGCTTTGTTTATTGTAGTATTTATAGCAATGGCAAAATACTGGAAACAGTCTAAATGTCCAACAACAGGGGATGTATGCATTAAGTAAAATATGATCTCCATAAGATAGGTCTCTAGCCATTAACAATGGTGACGTGGAATGTATTTATCAACATGG